TTGGACATCTGAGCATTTTAAAAGAGTTTCAAATAAGTCCACTAATTTTAATGAATAAAGACTGGATGTTAAAGCGTAACAACTTCAATCACCAATTCAAAGTTCCTGAAGTGACTCGTTATGATTGGAATACAGGAGGGCCATCTTTTCGTCCTGGGTCAATAGTATTCTATACGGATGGATCGAAACAAGATAATATGGTTGGGGCTGGAATAAGTGGTCCTGGGATCAGCCTATCGGTGCCGATGGGAAAATGGCCAACAGTATTTCAAGCTGAAATATATGCCATCCTAGAATGTGCCACGATTTGCTTAAAAAGAAATTATAAAAATGCAACATATGTATTTGTTCAGATAGCCAAGCAGCGTTGAATGCTCTAAGTCCAAAACTTGCACTTCAAAACTGGTTTGGGAATGCACTAAGCTATTGCAGCATTTGTCCTACTGTAATAAGGTTAACCTATACTGGGTTCCTGGTCATTGCAGAATCGAAGGGAACGAAAAAGCTGATCAATTGGCTAAGGTGGGATCATCAATGCAATTTATTGGACCAGAACCATTTTTAGGATTATCTTTTTGTGCTCTTAAAATGGAGTTCAATAACTGGGAAAGAATAAAGGTACAGTGCAACTGGAATAATACCTTAAATGCCCGGCAATCAAACCGTTTCATAGAGCCTAACGCTTTGCACACACAATAACTGCTGACGTTATCGAAACACGATTTGAGTACATATACTGGTTTGATTACAGGACACTGTCCTAGTAAATATCACCTTAAACTTATCGGAAAAATTGATGAAGACAGATGCCGTTTTTGTAAACTAGAGAGTGAGAGCTTTAAACATTTGTTGTGTGACTGCGTTGCACTATTTCACAAACGACGTATATATCTAGATAAGGGGCTTATGGAACCCTGGGAAATCTGGGCTGCTTCTCCCAATCAAGTTATACATTTCATAAGGAATGCATTACCTGTTTGGGATAATTGCCAACAACAGTAGTGGTGGTTGCTCATATAAATAGCATCTTGCCATTGCGTTACGGCAAAATCAAAAGAGGATACACCACAATAGATCAAAGTTATGGTCGCGGTGGTATCAACAATCAATACGAAACTAACGATTTTAAATTGGCTCACCACTTTAGTAGCCTATTGGTCCCAAGCAAACGATTAACGTACCCTATTCTAGTTGAAATTCTATTACTACACTATGTTTGTTTTGATTCGCTATGAAAGTTTGACAGATAACATCAGGGGTGTGTGGATTCATGCAGAACATGCAGGGGTGAGTGAAATAGCTTGGGACTGCTTGGGACCGTTGTTCTGGTACTGAGTGAGCCAAAAATAATAATGATTTTCTTCGGGACCCAGTGGTCTTAGAGTTACCTCTATGGTGGTATTATGTCCCCAACACAGGGAAAAAAAAACAAGTTCAGGATCGCACAATGTTTGCGTTTGTACAAATCATGAAAATTTTTATCTTATAACACATAGTTTAAAAAAGTACAATATTTTGTATGACTTAAAGTCCTTGACTGATAGTTTAATTTGTGAAAGAAAAACAGCATATTGTTATGTTAGATGTTGTGAGGATTGTCCAGACGAGAGTCGAGTTTCGAACGCCTTTGGATACGGTTGTGTGTTAAGTTCGTTCTCTGTTTTGTGCGTGCATTAGCTTTCATAGTTTTCGGCTGCATTTGCCGGATTAGCGCTGGCACTCTGCCTCCCGGACGGTTATACGTGTGTGAGTGGTGGTTTTCTCGCTTTCCGAGAAGTTTTAGAATCGAGAAAGAAAACATGATTCATCATGTTTGCAAAATTGCAAGCATCAGAAGATTTGGCGCTGCGTGGTTTGAATGTTTCTCCCGGACCAGAAATTTGTGGCATCGCGAGTGAAAATTTTAATTTCTGTTTATTTACGCGGTGATGAGAACGGCGCTGATCTATTGTTAGGGTTTTGCGATGTGCATAGCTTTTGTGCACGGAGTGACTTGAAAAAGAAAAGTGATATTTGGTTTTGTGTGGAGAGAAAAATATGCGTGGAAGCATCGGGAATGCGCTCCCGGGTGAAGTGATTTGGTGAGTACGTTCCAGTTGAAGATTGTTGACAAGTGTATTTGTGGTGATGCAAATTATGGTTTAGATGACGCATGGCTTCAAACGTGTATCCAAATAAAACATATTACATACTAAATACGTACAGGGAATCGTCTGCTGACCATTGCCGCGGGTATATCGTGGGAGTCCCAGGTACCCGGTTCAAGCTTTAGTTGGCGGCGGTGGCTCTTCTTGACCTTCTACCCCCTGAGTAGTTAGATTGAATAAGGGCGTCTATGTGATGTTTTGCTGTACCTGTTGTGGACATCTAGTGCATCCTGTTCCCTTAACTTGTTGAGGACACCCTGTCTTGCCTCAAAAGTTACCCTTTTTGAAGTACTAGTTTTCACAACATAAAGGGCACCATTACGGAGCATGAGATTTGATCAAATTATTCGCAGTTCTACTTGTCCAACGCCCCCGGCTGGGTGAGGGATAGAGGATGACACACACACACACACACACACACACACACACACACACACACACACACACACACACACACACACACACACACACACATGTTGTGAGGATTGTCAATTGGGTTCTTTAATTTTGAAAAATGTATCGTTTTTTATACTGGAAGAGCTTCGTTTTCTGAGCACAGCGATATTTTTTTCGAACTAACACACTTTCATCTCGATTTTTAAATCAAGATTTAAAGCAAAATAATAACTTCACTGTTTGACACTAAACTAACAAACTGACAGCTCGCTCCCATACAAAGTGACACAGAGGGGCGCTAATAAGGTGATTTTTGCAAATGTAATTGTACATATTTAAAATAGTTCCAGTGTATCAAAATTGATGAAATTTTGGGTTTGGGTTCCATTTTTAATGCAGATTACGAATATGCATTTACCCCAATACCCTTAAAGAACCCAATTGAGGATTTTTTAAACAGCAATTAGAAGAAAAAATGATTGATCAACTGTCATTCGAACAGTGGGTAACTACTGATAGATGTGATATACCAACTATTGTTAAAGAGCCTGAAGATTTTGTTATATATTTTTGTGAAAAATTACTCAAATTGATACCGCATGATTTCATTAAAACAGAACAATATAAATTCTTAAAAACAACGAAAAACAATTTGCAAGTAGGGAATTTTTTAGTCATTTGTGATTTTTCTGAAAATACTCCTTTATACTGCAGGATGAAGTACAATCTCTTCATTGGAATGTACAACAAGCTACTATCCATCCATTCGTTATATACTGTAAAGAAAACTCGCAAGTGCTTCATTTTAGTTTCATAGTTATCTCAGAAGAGTTGACACATGATGCAGTAGCTGTTAACCTGTTTTTTTTTCCAAAAATGATAACTTTTTTACGTACAGTTGAATGAAAAATAGTGAAGAAGATTTATTTTACGTCTGACGGAGCTGCTTCACAGTACAAAAACCGTAAGAATTTTTCTAGTCTCTGCAAGTTCAAGTCTATGTATGAAATTGAAGTTGAATGGCATTTCTTTGCGACATCCCATGGCAAAGGACCGTCTGATGGTATTGGAGGTACGATAAAGCGCATGGCTACACGAGCCAGTTTAGCCAGAGAACGTGAACATCCAATTAAAAATGCCAGAGAATTATATAACTGGGCAAATAATCGAAAGGAGGAAGAGTTGACGAGTTTATCATTTGGTTTTGTAACATCCTATATCTTAAAATAAAATCAAAGCAAAATTGTTCTCAAACTGTTCAGATCATGACAAGGGGTTGGTCACTCTACACAGTGTGCCAAAATCAAACTTGGGCACCCCCGGCAAATTTTTCGACGGTACCGTCAACGCCAATGTATCGGCGTACTAGTTTGGACATTTTGTGCCGGCTCGGCTAGTAACGATTACGGCATGCTATACGATCTGGCATGTTTCAACGCTTAGGCTTGGTAGGTCCTCACCTAACACGATGGGTTGGCAGTGGCCACCAGGGCTGATAAATTACAATTACAATTACAACAAATATAGGACTGATATACGATTCTGCAACTGTCAAACTATCTCCATTATTTCGATAAACTGGACTCATTGCAACTTGATGTTTAGAGCCAAGTTGCTTGACATGATATTTTCTGCAATTTTTCTGAGAAAACCTACTCGCTATCTATTGAAATAATAAAGGTTATTTTCTGTCGTACAGTTGGACCTTAAGAAAAACTTAAGGTGCACATTGCAAAAGATGCGATAAATGAAATTATTAATACCTTCTGAAGACTTCACTTAAACGCCACAATGTAAGCACTCATCAGAAAGCAATTAAGTTCATGAATTTTCACTTTTAAACCACTGTGGAGTCTAATGATTGTTTTGATGAGTTTTCTCAACAATAAAGTATATTTTACTGCAAAAATTTCAATTTTATTTTACTTGTGTCAAAACGCTTACAATATCATCCTTCACCCTATCAGAGACGTGTTGGGTACCCGCGAACTCTGTTGTATGCAGTCGATTTATGTGTTTCTACAAATGTCTATAGTATAAGTTTTTGTTTGTCTCGTCCCCTGTCTCGATGAGTCTCATCGTCGCGCAGTGTTAATAATGTACCCCTCTAACCTCGGGTTAGCCGCGAATATTCGGCCCATCTCCTACTAGACATAGAATTAAGTGAATTTTGTTACAAAGAACAATTAATTATCGGCTCCGTAAAGCTAACGCGATTGAGCCTTACAAATAAACGAACTAGATAAAAAAATATCATCCTTCAAACAAGTAATTACAGGGCTGCAACGACTGTTATCATTAGGTTGCAAGTGAATGTTTTTCTTAACTTAGTGTCACTAAAGTCAACGTAAGGGGAATGTCGGCTTCGGCACGGCCCAAGTTCAACGCAAAATTTCACAATATGTATTGAAAAAAACAGCTATGAATAAAACTTTTCTGCAATTTTATTCGATAAAAATATATAATAATTTACAATCAGTTCAATTTAACTAGAAAATAATGCAGATTTCCTACAGTGCAGTAGATTCTCCACTGAACCCACCGAACGAAATCAATTCAGTACAAATATAAAAAGTAGAGAGCTTTTCTTAAAAGGAAAATATTTTGTTGGTCACTTTAACAAACTTTGTTGGGGTAGGTTTGATGAGAATCCTCCGGGTACAAGGCACACGGACTCATCATCGTAGAAACCGCGTCAACGGCGTCCGTGGCGATCCCTCAACAAAATTGAACGGAATCGAAGGCACTGGGGCAGCATTCAGCTCGCGCAAAAGTGACGGCATCTGATCAATTTTCGCCCGCAAGGCCGTCGGAAGCAGGGCATCATCCTGGGTGGAATAGTGCTGCAGAGGGCTTCCTATGCCGGAGGAAAACGTCACTCCACCGCCCTGTTCGATGGGAATCAGGGACAGGGTGGCTCCGTCAAGGAATTGTACCTGGATGACACCTTGGGACAGCTGGACGGCTGTGCCAACGCCAGGGATGGTGCATTTTTTCGTGGCAACGTTGGAAAAATTTGCACTGACGGGTTTGGATGACAGGACCGGTCGTCGATTGTTTGACGTATGGGAATTCACTGACATGGCAAAGGAGGACATCTGATGTGGTGCCATCGGAGTTTGCGGGCTGGAGATGTTGGAATGCAGATGGTTTTCTTTGGTAGAGGAAGCGGAAGCAGATGATGAAGAAGCTGTTACCGGTCGCCGGCCAATGATGAGTGGGAACGTTTTCCCAGTTTGAATCGCAGATAGAGCCTGCTCGATGTTGAGACAATGTTCTAAAGTTTGTTGAAAATGCTGATATTCTGTGTTCAGTACTGAACTCAGACTAGCGGTGCTTTTCGTTGTTGTTCCATTGGAATCTACGATTTTGATGCCTTCCTGAGGTGATTTCACAATTTTGGTCCCTGTTTGGAAGAATTTAGTTGATTTAAAATTATTTAAACCACGAAATTACCCCACCAACTTACCAGTGTAGAAACTCGCTTCATAATCCTCCAGCGTTTCCATCAGCTGACACTTGGCCTTCTCACTGTAGTACGTAATCTTCGGCGTCTTTGCTTTTACCATCTGCACGAACCTAGCCGCGTAGAGGTACTTTTTCCAGTGCTTTTCCGGTAGGTTCTCGTAGCTGAATATATTATCGGCCCCACCCGGCGGTAAATCCGGTGGTTCGTCTTTGATCGCTACGCCTTTGCCCCCCTCGGGGTGATACAGCACGAACCGTAAGCCATCTGCTGATATCCGACAGACGTCCACCACTCGGTTCTCTTTGTAGCGGGTTTTATACTTGATGAACTCCAGCACGACTTCCCCGCTCGATTGAATGCTGAGGATGGCATTTTTCGTCTGGTGACGATTTGGTAGTAAACGGGCGGTATCCAGTGGTGGAGTGTCGAAGCGCTTTCTGTGTAATCTGCCAGGGCTTCCGTACCTTGGAGTACCACTTTTTGCTGGGTGATGATTGTCTCTTGATTGAAAGTTTTCAAGAAAGTCCTAGCAGAAGATTGAAAATTTAGGGATGTTGTAGATGGTGAGTTTGAATCTCATTTGATACTTACATAATGTCCCGGATTCAACGGTGACCCCCGATCTGCATCATCGTTATCCCGGAGATAACCATAGTTCTCTTTATCACCAACGGTAGCAGGATCGGCATTGCCCGATGGTAGCTGATGATATAGCATCGAAATGGAAGCCGATTTGGGCCTTGAATTGAGCAAGGAAATCGCTTGCTGATGCTGGTGATTGTGCTCCTGCAGCAATACTCCCGAGCTGCCCTCGGATGCCGAACGGCCTACGCTGGCAATGTCCGCCTTGTTGATATTGTACTTCTCCATCAGCTCGAGGCTATTGAACTGTTGCAAAAGTGATATCTGATTCAATTGGTGATGCATTATCCGAGCGGGAGGAACCGTCCGGGGTTCGATGCTCAGACCGGAGAAGAAATCCGATGTCGGTTTGTTGTGTGATGCAGACTGCGGACGTTTCTGTGGAAGAATACTCTCCTGAAAGTCGTACTCATGTTCGCTGATCGGCTGGTACCGTAGAGGCATTTGATGCACGTTCGTCTGTTGATACCGTTCCTGGCTGAAGTTTGAAGGAATGTTTGAACGATTAGATCCACCACTGCTGGACATGGTGACGATTCCACTGTCACTGGAAGCAAGGGTTCCACCGGCCCGATATTTCTCGAAACTTGTTGCCTTTCGCATAAAAGGATGCAGCAAAACCTGATCCAACTTTATCCGTTCGGCAGGATTTTTCTTTAGAAGATGGTCAATTAGATCTCGAGCTTCGGAAGATATGTAGGATGGAATGCTGTAGTTGGACATCACGACCTTCGTCAAGGTGGATTTCACTCCTTCGGTATCGAATGGAGGTTTCCCCACCAGGAAAGTGTACAACATGCATCCGAGGCCCCAAACATCAGCCGGCAAGCCATGTGAAGCACGAGAGGCCACTTCCGGTGAAATGTAGTTCGGGGTCCCGCAAAGAGTCATGTGCTTTTCATCCGGTCGTGACAGCTGGGTAGCTAGGCCAAAATCCGATATCTTGATGGTCATTTGTTTCGTTAGCAGTAGATTTGCTAAGGACATGTCCCGATGAAGGATATGATGAGAATGTAGATATAGAAGTCCGTCAACTACTTGCTTCAGTACTGAAGCAGCTTCGTACTCGTTGAATGTCTTTTTAGTATCTCGCAGATAACGCTGCAGTTCACCATTCTCAGCGAGTTCCAGCACGAGGTAAACGTAATTAACGTCCTCGAAGAACGTGTACAACTCCAAGATAGACGGATGCTTCAGCTGAGAATGGATACTTACTTCCTGTCGAACACGGTTGGCCATGCCAGAGGACTGCATCAACTTTTTGTCAATCTAAAAGCAAATAAATTCAAACTTTTAAAACACTTTCACTTCCTTTTTATCCCCAACATCTCCTGCACTGTTGCGGGTGTAGGGTGGTTGCCGGAGCGGAACAAGCGCGGGAAATTACTTACCATTTTGATCGCAACCAGAACTCCGGTCCGGAGGCATTTTGCGCGGTACACACTGGCGAAGCCACCTCTCCCCAGTGCTTCGTAGACCTCAAAATCCTGCAAATTATTAAACAAAACGTACCCCTGAAGCAATCATTACTCTAACGTAAACAACCGCACTAACCTCAATCCGATCGCCAAAGTTGTTCATTTTTTTTCGGACAGCAGGACTGATGTTAATTCAAACCATACACCTTTAATGAATCACTCGATAGAAAATAAAACATTCTGTAACTTTGGCACTCTGAAGATCGCAAAATCCGCTGCAATTTCAAATTGGTCGAAAGGTTTGCGAAGAGATTTTTATTGACAAACAGAAAGCGTCGTTGAATGGATTCGGTTTTGAATCGGCAAATGACGTTTCTAATAGGAATTTGTGTTTGGAAAATGAACGTCACAAGACATCGCCATTTCAAGGCAAGCTAGTCTAGTACAGCAATCTAGTACAAAATATAGGCCTAAAAATCGTTGAAAACACTCTGGATGATGCATTCGATGCATTCTGACCAACCATTCCGGTTAATTACCGGTCAGTGCCAGTCAGATCACCGAAAATTACTCTGATTATTTTTCAATTGAATAAAATTCAAGAGCAAATTTTCATTATGTCGTAAGTAACATTCGCACCGATCCGAGAAAAATAAAGTTTTGTTTTGATGACCGAAAAGTTATTCCTATTTCCAATTAAACATATATAATCTCATAATGATAGCAATGTTTAACATATTCAGCCGGGTTTTAATCGTACAAAGGCAAATCGCTAGCTTTCATGCTAAGAAATACTGGTTTTTGAGTCAAAAGTTATTATACGTCGTTTGGTGACCCCTATTGTTACTTAAGTCAAAGTGTATTTACCAGGATATTCGGGAGAATTATCAATTACGTCTCCTTACGTGCAGCCCATTCATCATTTTAGGACCACCGAAATCATCTTAGCAACAAACAGTTCGATTTATTCACTTTAATAATGAGAAAGCGAAACGACGAACGTACACTTTTTACGGGTTTCTCAGCGCTGTTACTTAAGTCAAACGGCATCTCCATAGAAATTGGGTGACTTAAGTATCATCGAAAACTATTTTGATCAGAAGGTGATTACGTCAAAAAGCAATTTGACTGGTAAATAAATTTAAAAATGGGATTTGATCCTATATTCGGACAGTATATAGTGTAATATCGATTGACACTGATAGCTTGACTTTGTTTACCTTTGTTACATTCGACGTAATGAAAATTTGCTCTTGAATAACTTTATCACCATGAAATTACTTTTATTACTCTCGATTACCAAAATTACTACGATTACTTGAATAATTTTATGAATTTCTTTGGAATTACTCAATTGGGTTGTTTAGGGGTATGGAGGTAAATACATATTCGTTATCTACATTAAAAATGGAACCGAAGTCCAAAATTTCATCAATTTTGGTACACTGGAACCATAGAGGTAACTCCATAGAGGTAACTCCATAGAGGTAACTCTAAGACTGATACCAACAATCAATACGAAACTAACGATTTTAAATTGGCTCGCTACTTGACTAGCCTATTGGTCCCAAGTAAACGATTAACGTACCCCATTCTAGTCGAAATTCTAGTACTACGCAATGTTTGTTTTGATTCGCTATGAAAGTTTGACCGATAAAATGAGGGGTTATTGGTTTTTCCTATGTTTCGAGGGGTGAATCGATTAGCTTGGGACCGAAGAGAGTACCAGAGCTGAGCCAAAAAGTTGAGCACGTTATTTCGGGACCTTCTAGCACAAACGAAGTGACAGACGGAGCGGCTCGAAAACTTTGGTGACGCACCTGCTAATGCAATTTTTCAGTGTACCACATGGCAACACCACTACACAGCAAAAAAAATGTAATATCGATCAACGTAATTCAAGCTGATGTATGAAATAATGATGTAATAGCAAAAAGCAGATACAATATAACCAACAATCAATACGAAACTAACGATTTTAAATTGGCTCATCACTTTAGTAGCCTATTGGTCCCAAGCAAACGATTAACGTACCCTATTCTAGTTGAAATTCTATTACTACACTATGTTTGTTTTGATTCGCTATGAAAGTTTGACAGATAACATCAGGGGTGTGTGGATTCATGCAGAACATGCAGGGGTGAGTGAAATAGCTTGGGACTGCTTGGGATCGTTGTTCTGGTACTGAGTGAGCCAAAAATAATAATGATTTTCTTCGGGACCCAGTGGTCTTAGAGTTACCTCTACGATATAACATCAATGGATGTAATTTTGTTCGCAAAATCGATGTACATCGTACAATGTGATATTACACAACCGATGAATTGACCTGGTTGCAGCAGTTTCGATGTAATATTCAACAACTTTTTTTGCTGTGTACCAACAATCAATACGAAACTAACGATTTTAAATTGGCTCACCACTTTAGTAGCCTATTGGTCCCAAGCAAACGATTAACGTACCCTATTCTAGTTGAAATTCTATTACTACACTATGTTTGTTTTGATTCGCTATGAAAGTTTGACAGATTACATCAGGGGTGTGTGGATTACTGCAGAACATGCAGGGGTGAGTGAAATAGCTTGGGACTACTTGGGACCGTTGTTCTGGTACTGAGTGAGCCAAAAATAATAATGATTTTCTTCGGGACCCAGTGGTCTTAGAGTTACCTCTATGCCACTACTACCATAGAGGTAACTCTAAGACCACTGGGTCCCGAAGAAAATCATTATTATTTTTGGCTCACTCAGTACCAGAACAACGGTCCCAAGCAGTCCCAAGCTATTTCACTCACCCCTGCATGTTCTGCATGAATCCACACACCACTGATGTTATCTGTCAAACTTTCATAGCGAATCAAAACAAACATAGTGTAGTAATAGAATTTCAACTAGAATAGGGTACGTTAATCGTTTGCTTGGGACCAATAGGCTACTAAAGTGGTGAGCCAATTTAAAATCGTTAGTTTCGTATTGATTGTTGATTGTACCACATGGCAACACTACTAATGGATTGTACCACATGGCAACACTAAATGTACTGAATGTTTTGGTTCTATCTCTTTCACTCTACTCTTAACTGAAATGCATAAAAAAATGACAAAATCAACTATGTTCAAATCAAAACAAAAATACTAGCCCATCTAGTGGCTGATGGCACAAGCTTCTAAGAAAATTCTATTACGGCGAACCACATTATTTTAATTGATTTCTTCGCCAGTAAGTCGTCTGTCACTTCGTTTGTGCTTCTAGTCTTAGAGTTTCCTCTATGGTAAAACTTTGACCTTCATTTTAAAGGCTATTGAATTTGAAAATAATATCAAAACATGTTCAACCTTGTTTAAATGATCAAATTTTGTCATTTTAGTAGAGATTTAGTTTCAAAGTAGCTGAAAAACAATTGAATTGAATTGCATAAATTTTAGCGAAAAGTTCAGCTGTTCAGATTTCGGTAAAATTACCGAAGTCGGCGATAATTTCTAAGTGTGAATGTCTACGGGATTGATAAAAATATCGTTGTGCTCTGAAAACGAAAATCGGTATATTTTTCGAAGTTAAACAACCCAATTATTAAATGATTAACAATGTTTCTAAAGATGGAATTGTTAGAGAATTACGATGAAATCCAAGCTCGATTAATAACAATGAGATTCACAGCAAAAAACAAAACTGGAATCATGTTAAACTCATATTTCAACCTGAGTTTAAAAAACGTTTTATTGAAAAATCGGAAAATCTCTTTAATAAAGGAAAACAAAATTTGAAAGTTTTACTGAAAATACTGTTTCAATATAGCAAGACACGTATGTTGCATTTGTTTTGATTTGGATTTGGAGATTTACGCGCACTGATGCAAATGTCAACATAATAGAGATTAGTGACGTTTAACGCACGCACACTAACGGAGGTCTAAGCTCAAAATGTATGTAGTTAGATATGTTAAAATGAGTTTGACAGCAGTTTGTTATGTATTTTCCTCGGATTTTCACTACCACAGTTTCACACAGTGCACCAATTCAACCAGGCGTGAAAATCTCTATTGGCAATCAAATCTCGATTATCGCGCAAGGGATGATGGCGAGCGGGAGGGGGGGTTTATGATTTTGTAACAAGCAATGCATTAGGTATAGGAAAAACGTAACGAAAGGGAGGGAGAGCGGGTTAATGTTTCCTCAATTTAGCGTGACATAATAAGCTTTCCAGTTGTGTTGGTGCGATATGTGAGAGCATGTTAGGGAAAATCTTAGGAAAATATATAACAAATCGTTATCAAACTCATTTTGACAGATCTAATTTCATACATTTTTTACGTTAGCCTGAAGAAAATAATAAACAACTTTTTACGGCGATACACCCGCTAGCGTGCGTGCGTTAAACGTCACTAATCTCTATACATGAAGCAACTAAAATCATAAAATTAACATAGAATAATAAAGAATACACACTTAGAAAAAATCACCGACTTCGGTAAATCATTTACCGAATTCTCAACAGCTGAACGGTCGGTAATGTTTTCGGTAATCGAGAACATTACCGACAAATCTATAAACTGGATCAACAAAATTAGCCGGCAAATTTACCGAACGATCGGTAACGTTTACCGATGTGCATTGCTAGATTTGTGTAGTCGACTTTACCGGAGAAGTGTAGTTTTGGGGAAGATATGCAAATCGAAAATTACCGAGCGATCTGTAATTTTTAAAAAAGGTAACCGACTCAACTGTAATTTGCTTTAATATTGTTTCAAGGTGGCGGTCACTGGCAACCCATGCACACATTTGGCTGCAGTCGTGATCAATGTGTTATTGTTGCAAATTGCTCCACCAATAAACAAAAACAAGTTTTTGGTGGAAGGATTCGGCGCTACACTGAAAACAGGGAAGCATTTGATGAAGATTCCAAATACTGATTTCATATCGTCGCCAACGAGAATGGAACTTGGACCGACAGAAAAAACAAGCAACAACATAGGCCATATGTAATGGGTATTTATTTAGATAACGAAAATTAATTACTTTCAGAAAATATCTACGATTCGCTCATCTTGGTGTTGCATTACAGCCTCCATAATTTCACCTTTTTATTTTTCATAAACACGAACGTTTTCAAAGTCGACCGAAAATCACAATATGGTGGATTTGACGTTTACCGAGACAGATACCGAACTCAGTAATGGAACGCTTTGTTTATCAAAACATCAGCAAAATATTTCACCGAAGTCAGTGATGAAGCTGATTTAGAGACCTGCCGGTAAAAATGTTTACCGTTTTCGTTAAATTTAATTGAAATTACCGAAATTTGGTCATTTCATTTACAGTTTTCAGCAATGAAGCGAGAAAATACCGAAACATCTTTAATTTTTAGGATTACCGATCTAAGACGGTATTTTTTTTACCGAACTCAGGGTCTCTGTTTAAGTGTGTATGATAATTCCTGAGTACAAATATTTATAGAATTACTTAAATTACTGTTTTTCTTATCTTTTAAATTACCAAATTGTTTTCCAAACAGTATGAATTACTGAAATTACCCATAATTATTTTTATTATTTTAAAATTACTGAGTAATTCAAAATTTACAAATTATTTTGATAATTTGTGGTAATTTTTGATTGATCACCTTACAAGCTTGGCAGAAACCCCTCAAGTTCCAGTGCGCCAAAGTTGATGAAATTTTGGATTTCGATTCAAGCCTAGTACACAGCAAAAAAAATGTAATATCGATCAACGTAATTCTAGCTGATGTATGAAATAATGATGTAATAGCAAAAAGCAGATACAATATTACATCAATGGATGTAATTTTGTTCGCAAAATTGATGTACATCGTACATTGTGATATTACACAACCGATGGATTGACCTGGTTGCAGCAGTTTCGATGTAATATTCAACAACTTTTTTTGCTGTGTATACAGATCGAAGCGAAACAAAAATTGAAGCACGTGAAATTTCATGAAATTTCGCTAGCGAAAAAGGTTGTGAAGAAATGTTTGTGGAACATTTTCCAGTTTCCTTTTTTCGCAGTTTACAGTTCATGTGAAACGAAATCGATCAGTTTACACCCCCGGTGAAGTGAGCACCTGACAGATACACGAAACGAAAACCAATCATTTTATTCATGTGTTTCACTTATACATTTTTGCCAAAACACATTATACATTATACATTTCATAAGACAAACCACATAGGTCCTATAACAATGCATGAAAGGTATGTGTGACCGCTTATACATTTCATTTGACACATGAGCTTCATTAACTTTTTGCAAGGCGTCTGCTTATTAGTTGACTTATTCATTTTATGAATAATCAGCAATAGAAATTTGCCAAAAGGTATAAGGAGATTTCTATCCGTGTACGCTCTTTCTCTAAACTTCAACTTTTCGCATAGCTGCTGCTCTTTTCGCTAGCGCTGCATGCGCGAAAAGAAAATAAACTTAAGTGAAAAAGATACGATCCACAAAATTAGATATCGCTGGATCGTATCTGTTTACAGTTCAAAGCGAAGTGAAAAATTTGCCAATTGCGTTTTTCACGCAGGTGAAAAATTTAATATATTGTATGAGGTTTTCGCTTCGCTTCGATCTCTATTCAGGCCTTTATTTTTTAATGCAGATTTTTAATATTTATTTACCTCAATACCAACAACCCAATTTAGTATCGTAAGTTTCGTTTTCGTATTGATTGTTGATACCGCCCTGCTCCCCTCTGGTACGCGCCAATCTAGTACAGTGTTTGTCTCCGCAACTACATCAGCGCGTCCCCCGGTTTCTCAGAAATGCCGTTATGTGACGTTCAGATGCCGAAAACTTTGCATAACTTCCCTGCGCATTTTGGCCTTTACTGCTGTCATTTATGTCACGCGCGCCCGTTTCGTTTTCAGCGAACCCTGCAGGGATGCCAATATTTCGGATTGTGCTAATTTTTAGTTTATTCCAGCGACAAAAAATTAAATATTTATTTATCGATCAATTTTGATGCATGGAAGATCGATGCAATTCTGAATGAACTGATCTGATCACCCGTTTGATAAATCGAACCGCCCGTTCAACTGGATCGATTCGAATGTACTATTGCATGCTGGTTCGTCGTTGGTAATATTATTATTATAGCGATTTCTGTGTACATCGTGCAATGATGAAATCGATTAAACGACCTGGTTGCAGCAGTTTGGATGTAAGATTCAACCTTGGATTCATCTACTTATTTTGCTGTGGGCCCATACAATAATTATGTCACGGCAAATCGAGGAGAAATTTACTAGAGGCCCCCCTATCGTGACGTTTTTCCTATACCTAATGCATTGTTCACAAAATCTTAGATCCCCCCGTCGATTATTTGACAACCCGCATAAAAGCGAACCATAAATTGACCTTACCTAAAATGGTTAAAAATTGTTTATAATCCCTGCTAAACTTTAACTGAAATGGTTATGGAACTTTACATGAACGTTTAATGATAAAGTTTCAACCTTATGTATTATGGTTTTTTGGAACTGGACCTTACAAATAATGGGTTGTTAAGAACCATTACCGTTCCAAATTCTTGTTTTCTCCATACATTTTCAGAAAGAGAACTATATGTAAAGAACATTAATGGTAATGGTTATGGTAGTCAGTAAGGTCCATGAATGGTTTTGTAACATCGATCAACTTTATGTGGAATATATCGCGAATTGGTTGCCTGTAATTTACTGATTACCAATTCACGATATATTCCACGTAAAGTTGAGCGATAATACAAAACCATTAATGGACCTTACTGACTACCATAACCATTACCATTAATGTTCTTTACATATAGTTCTCTTTCTGAAAATGTATGGAGAAAACAAGAATTTGGAACGGTAATGGTTCTTAACAACCCATTATTTGTAAGGTCCAGTTCCAAAAAACCATAATACATAAGGTTGAAACTTTATCATTAAACGTTCATGTAAAGTTCCATAACCATTTCAGTTAAAGTTTAGCAGGGATTATAAACATTTTTTAACCATTTTAGGTAAGGTCAATTTATGGTTCGCGTTTATGCGGGAATCGCAGCTTTGATAACATACTGCGTTTGTCAGTTGCAAAGCTAATTTTTCTCTGAATTGGCATTATTGAGAGACAAACCATAGCGTGGACGTTGATTTTTTTTTTCTTTTTAAGGAAGGCCATAAAAGCTTTAAAGTTTAAAAATTAGTTCTTTATAAAATGAGAATCTTACACAACCCATGGTCCATACCAACAACAGAGATTTGTTGTGCTACGTTAGACTCTGCATTGGACGCGCCGTCATATTCCATTTTGCTTACGTGATAATGTCATTGGCATTAACAATATAAAATATAGTGCAACCTATACTATAGACACTGGAAATAGATTGGCCAACTGCCTCTATAGCCTTCTCTCTGTTACAACCAAAGGGCGATTTTGTTTTGGCTGCATTTTTTGACATTTCGTTTTGGCTGCATGAGACAAGCATTGGCCAGTCTATATCCAATGTCTGTAGTTCTAACATATAACATAAGTTTGGGATGATAAGGATAATAAGGATAAGCGTTAAAGGCCGGCGCACAATGCATACGTTTTCGGGTTTTTTGACAGATAATGCATGGACTAATTGTCAAAAAACCTGAAAACGTATCCATTCCCTAATAAACGGGTACCATATACTGACGATATCTTAGATGGTGTGACCACACCACATAAAATTGGGATGATATCTCGAATTAGTGGTTAGGCGCATCTTATGGTTATTGTTTATGCGGGTTGTGCGCCGGCCTTAAGGATTTATGGTTTCACTTCCGTTCTTTTCCGGCTCACATGTACGTTGGGATGTTCTAGAAACACTATTGGCAACCCTGCCGCGAACCGTCGTGTGCCAGCGCCATATTGATCTGCAGGCCGCTGGTCTAGTACCGCTTTGCCTTCATTCATACCGCAGCAGCCTCAAACTCAGCACCACGACACGAGCAGAGGAAACGACGAACACGATCTCCCCCCATAATTCGTAATCGTCTTCTACTGTACTGTCGTTCTCTCCGTGCAGAACGAAGAAAAAATTGTCTGCCGAATTTTCTGATGAAATTTTTGCCAATTTTTCTCGTTTGAAAACGATCGAAAAATGCCCGTATGCGAAGCGCTTGTCGCGAGCTTTCGATTGAATGTAGAATTTTTACGCTAGTGCCCCGTTCGAGTGGGTAAAATCGAGATTAAATTGGTTGAAAAGTGGAAATTTTCTTGCCTGCCGAATCCGAGTCGTGCCAGCCATCAGTCAGTCCGTCAAGAAGCAGAGCAAAGCGAGTGAGTGTGCGAGAGAGCCCCATCACGGGAACACTCTGGAAGACATTTCAAAGGAAAGGAAGCAAGTGGTATGTGTAGGTAGTGTGTGTGTGTAGTTACGTATATGGCCTTCGGGGACCATTGCCGGAACTCGTGCGGTTTTTTTCTACGGTCAAAACAGTGCAACGGAACGGAAGATCTCCAAAAGTGCTAGTGCGTGCGACGGAGGAATCAGTGAAAGCCGTGAGTGGGGCCCGACACATCCGGAAAGTGAAGCCTCGCAGCTTTGCGTCGTCGTATCGGGAGGCATAGCGCTACGAAAATAAATTGTGTGCTGGTTGGTCTCATCCCGTCAGTTTGCGTGCAACATAGAAACGTCAGTTTTGGAAACAAATGTTCCGACGAGTTGAACTCCGTGGAAGAGGTGAGTCCCCGTTAGGTTAAGCTAGAATAAGACCCGAATCGGTAACGTCCTTCGAATGACTAACAAGTTCCATGGAAGTGTTGTTTTGCGAGTCGGTGATTGGGTTTTTTTTTTGTAAAAGTGCTTTATGTCCTTGTTGGTGGTGCTGCACCAAAGAGAGGTGCGTGAGTTTGCCATTTCCTACGGTGAACTCCTCCGCCTGGTGCGGATTCCGGACGTACAAACACTGCTGGTATCAAGTGCTAAAAATGCTAGTGCTCAGCCCTTTTCCATTTCTGGGGATTGGATTCTTGCTGGCGCTAGTTGTTTATGTGTATCATTTATCACCGTCTGCTACCTAATAGAATGTTGTGGCTTGTGTTGAGTTACCTAGCATCGTTTTATTTAGATGTTCAGTGTCAGCATAGATTGATAAGGGGCGACGTAGAGGTAGGAAATTATTTACGTATGTGCATGATGATCATAGTGGTACTTCGCAAAAAAAAAAACAATCGGAAGATGATTACAGTAAAAAGTAGTGCAGATTTGAGGTTATGTTTTAATGATAGTGTCTTTTTGTGGATATTGCGTGCGGGGATTAAAAGTAGTAGTAGTTCATAGTTATTGCGTACTTTGTCGTATAATTTGTGTCTTCCAATTATGAAGCACAATTTGTACTGCTGCCGTCTTGTTCTTGTTAAGTACCTCCAGAATGCACTGAAAACCTGCAAACAGGAGAAGGTTCAAACCATTTGAGATGGCATTGATTTCTGTTAAGGGACTTGTTTAAAATGTTGAGTTAGCTTAGCAGTGAAGAGCGGTGCGGAATTTGTTAGACATTTGGGTTCCTTTAGTTTTGAAAAATATATCGATTATAATAATATCATCAAGGTCTGCGTTTTCTGAGCACGATATTTTTTTTCGATCCCACCCATCTCGATTTTTAAATCAAGATATAAAGCAAACTAATGACTTCGGTTGTTGACACAAAACTGAAATTCACAGCTCGCTCCCATACAAAGTACCACATTCATCGGTACATGGAGCAATAATTGACAAATTCCAGGAATTCATACGACATTACTAGATAGAGCTGGAATTAGGGCGTAACAGCTTTTGTAAACAATTATTTATCTCAAAGGTTTCTAGCAAGTCAAGGCTCGCTTACGCAAATCGACACCATCAGTAGGGAAAGACTTCGAGGAAGAGATTGGGCGGGACTTCTTAACTCCAGGCATTTTGGATAACCTGAGATATTTTTGTTCCAATACAACTCATGTCCCACATGATGTGATGAGGTCCCACAATCATCTAGGGATTCGTATAATAAATCAATACAGTGCACAAGATTTTCTTGGGAATGTAGAACGTCAAAATTTAAGCTTTTGGATAATTTGTAGGACTCAAAGTACTTTGTCATTTAAACTATTTATCATGATATTATGGGGATCCAGAAAGGTTCTGACATTTAGTCGAGTCATCGTATATTATATCTTGTTGAATCTGCAGAACTTCATGATTAAATTCCCGGAATGATTTGAACACAATTATGTATCTCAAATGATGTTGTGAGGCTCAATAAATTGCAAATGGCTCAAAAAATCAGAGCGGACCTCAAACAAGGTTTCGACGGACCTGTAAAATATCAAAATCGAAAATCCAGGACAATTAACCACTTCATTCGAGCAGATAAAATGACGTTTACTACCACTCGAACTTTGAAATATAACATAATTTTGAGATTTTTTCTTCTAGAACCCCGCGAAAAGTAGCCAACATTTGTGCGTTTCATAAAAAAAATAGAAATTAGTTGGTCCAGTTTTGTGAAATCGCTGGTAGAAAGTCACGCCGAAACTGCTTGACAAAGTGGTCAATTTGGAGAATCAAAAGATTTTAGTAACACAACTTTGTTTCCCACAAAATGTAATTAGGCTTAATTAAGCGCTACTCTCTTAAGGTCACGGATCTCCGGCGTATCGGGGACACTCTCGAATATATTTGAATCTCATTGTGGTTTACGGCAAGGTGATGGACTATCGTGCTTGCTATTTTAACATCGAGTTGAAAGGTGTGATAAGAAGAGCTGGGATAGACACGAGTGGCACGATCTTCAGGAAGTCCATCCAGTTTCTTGGCTTCGCCGATGACATCGACATTAAGGCACGGAACTTTGAAACGATGGTGCAAACGTACATCACACTGAAGGCTGAAGCCAGGCGGATTGGACTTGCCACCAACGCATCGAATACGAAAGAGGTTCTAGGGAAACAATGTTACTCCGAGTGCAGATTGACGCTGACGAAATCGGGGCACATATACACGAACTCGCCGACCACCTCGATTTCGTAAGCAATGTCCAAGAGTTTCCTAAATTTGTAAAGTACTAGATCTTTATTTTCCTTCTAAATGATTCCAGAGAGAATCTTAATAAAATCGGAGGACTCTATTTTGCCGAAAGTGAATTTACTAAAAAGTGAGTTGAAATTTCCGGGCTTTTCCAGTAAAAACTTCTCGAATATGAGGAAAATCAATGGAGGTTTCAGTCAGTCTATTAGTTACTCCTAGACTGAGCAAAATTTTCCAGGATTTTCCTGATATTCGAGAAGGTTTTCCCGGGCTTTTTTCCGGAAAATTCTACACATTTTTTAATAAATCCACTTTTGATTAAATGGAGTCGATTTGAACAACCGTGTAGACACAGACAAACAGACATAACGCATTGAATATTTCTCACTGTAAAACATCGTCGCTAAAACATTACCGCCATCTGTTGAGTACACTGCGGTGGGCACTGCGCTGAACAGATGGCGGTAGTGTCTAAACGTCAAACGCAAGGGAATTGCCTATGCGCGCCACAGGTGGCGGTACTACCATCTACGATACTTTTATATTGTCCGTTAAATGCTTGTTCGATGAACTATTTGCGAGAGTTATGTCTGTTTGTCTGTGGTGTAGACATTTGATTTTCTGTTCGTTCCACTAACAAGTTTTTCGATGCCCAACCTTTGTAAGTTGTTGAAAATTGAAAGCGTTTTATATTAGAGACTTACTGAAACTTCTTCTCAGAATTACCGCTCGGCGAATGAGAACGACCCAAATTTGAGATTACTTTACTCAAAATTCTCAAAGTGCAGGAACTCTGCGATGAGTAAATTTGCCTCATGTTTTTCCAGGAAAATAAATCCAGAAATATGAGAAAAGCAAAGATTGGGTTCACTCAGTCTATTGGTACTACTTCTAGACTGAGTAAAATTTTCGTCAATTTTCCGGCAGATTTTTTAGATTTTCCACAGGAAAACATGAGGCAAATTCACTCATCGCTGAGTACCTGCACTTTTGGCCATTATGAGTAAACTGAACTCAAATTTGGGTTGATCTCATTGGCCGTTCATAAAGCTAACCTCAGAATTTTATTGAATTTCTTATCTACACACTTAATTTTATTAGCCGAGATTAGCACAGTCGAGCTCCCGGCGAACATATTTTGCCGAAGTCTCAGCAAAAGTCACGTTTGTTTGCTGAATCTCGGAAAATGTTTTTCTGAAGCTCAGCAAACAAACGTCATGTTTGTTGAGATCTGAGTAAAATGTAATGCCGAGCATTCAGCTGTGCAAATCTCGGTAAAAAATGGCCGAGGTGGCCAAAACAAAACAAAGTGTGTATGAATTGCTGTAGGAGCTAGGAATTCACCTTAGGATTCCCAAAGTATTGTCCCAAAATTCACATCAGAATTCCATGGCTCTGTTTCTCAGAATTCCCTTGAAATTATATTCAAAATACCCTTGAGAGAATCTCTTGGAATTTCATTCTTTCTATTTCTGTTGAAACTTTCTTTCTTTCAGAATTCTTTGGCAATATGTTCAAAATTCCCTTTCAATTATTCTCTTTGGATTCCTCCCGGAAGTTCCTTGCAAACCCATCAAAATTATTAAGAAGTCTCCTAGGAACTCCCTTGAACCTATCTTCGATTTACAGTCAACTCTCTATATTTCGATATTGAAGGTACCATCGAGATATGGAGAGATTGATACATAGAACACGTTTAGCCTACTAGACCGTTTGAAGGGACTGAGATAACCATCGACATATAGAAAAAGTGGTCACATCATTGAGAGTTGACAGTATTTTGGAATTCAGCAAAATAATATTTTTGACGTAGGACTACGTCTGTAATTTCTATATAGGGGTACACTTTGTGAAAAGCGAAAATGGAACATGTAACAAAATTATGAAAGATTTTGAACGCTAATAACTCAACCGCCCCTGGACCAATTTCAATAGTTTTATCACCAATCTATCAGATATATTTCTACGCATCTGTCAAATTTAAGACGTTATCATTTTTCAAAATGTCACTATTAAAAATTGCACGAATGTGCAACTGTTGCAGACAGATTTCAAAGTTGAACTCCATGCGGTCTCACCAAACGGTGTTTATTCAATCACAGCGTGGCGAGTGGTGGTTTTTTTCCAGTATACAACGAAGGGCTGTCTGGAAGCAACGAGTTGCAGCCCACATGAGCATCCAAAAAAAGAAGAAGAAACCGCACCGCTATTGATCGGAATCAGTAGCTCTTCGTGAGTTGCTGTGGGCCAACTATGCCAAGCGCGTCATTCTAAAGAGTATAAACAGAGAGAACCCCGCTCAAATGCCTATTCCTACATAAAACACAAGCTCCTGCTGCAGTTAACAAATAAGATTTATTATATAAGGCCACGTAGTTCTACGTCACCATTGCGTACAACCCCATAGGGCTGTCCCTTGTAGTTTTTAGTTATCGTCAGAATTAGATTCCCTTGGAATTATTATCGATCCATGGAGCTCTCCTCAGAATACTCTTTGGTTGATTGATTGATTGACATTTAAGAGATTTTTCGCCGTATGCTGGTTTGTTTTTGGAAAATCATTAGGAGACATCGAAAGGGACCCTCCATTGCTGATTATAACGTAGTTAAAGTGATACATAGTGAATTATGAACATCTATAATTTGATGATGTAACGGCGCCGGTGGTGTAGTGG